TCAGGTTTACGTCTTCAATTAATTCACTTTAATTAACTAAAATAAGCTCGTACTACAGTCAATAAAATTTCCTACCAACCACAAAAGGTCACCTCACATATTTCAATTGATATTTTCGAGAAACATCATTTTATAAAAAAATAAAAGAATTTGACATAAGTCACTTTAACTTTGAGTAGTTCATAAGTATCATGTTCATAACATTTTAAAACATTTTAATACCTGTAATCTGTTTTGTTATCGGAATGAGATATGTTAGGTGTTAATTACTACTAGTTTTCTTCTCATTAATATTTTATCATCATTATCATCGCTGTAATAATCTGTTACGTATTTCACAAATTCACGGTTCGTTCCGCTATGATGGGAACCAAGAAAGCGTAGCGATAAAAAATTTAAAAAAATACATGGTAATAAACTACACATGAACATCTGCCCTTTATCTTAAGGCCAAAGATTGTTATGTCTGTACCTTCAATATAACCAGGACCCTCACATTTGTAACACAGAACATCGCAGAGATATCCGCTAAGGTTAGAGTGACACTTTAAAATTTAGGCAGCGACCACGTGCACCGAAGGCTTCTGAGATGGCCTTCCAAGTCAGAACGGAATAAAACTTCGACGTTTCGGAGATTGTACCATTACCAATACAATAAAATATTAAGATAAAAGCATACACATACTGGATCTGATATAGAAATAAATAAATTAGTAGCTAATTCCAAGGAGCAGAGTCCTTCTTGAGAAGTTGGTACTACACCCAGCTATACAGGAAATTCCAGCATTTATAAAACCCGAAGTTTCATAATGGTTTTCGAAAGATTCATCAAAGTCTCTGGCCCTGCATAACATTCCGTGATATTCTACGCTATGCAATGTACAGCTGTTAGTTCCCAGCGTAAACCTCAAGTTTCAGGCCCACCCCTCGTCGGCTGTCTGTGACTGCTTAATCAATACATTCGCAGGTACCCTCTATATCTATAGGCATTCTTCTCCTTCTACAAAAGAAAGACTAAAAATGGCGGTTATGTAAGGCATTCAAAGACAAAACAAATTGGTGACAAATTATGTAACCCTTCTTCAGATACACTCATAACGCCACGTTAAAATCAACCCAAAGATGCAACCGACCGATCTTGTTTCGTATTTGAAATTTTCCGGAATCAAATCTCGGCTTGGAAACAGGTTGTCCTGACCGTGGTTCTTTGTGGTTTTATTCAGTCCCTCCAGGCATGTGCCAAGATAGTACTTTAAACTAGGCAAGAACAGCTTCCTTCTTTATTTAAAACTCAATATTCTTCTTACATTGAATTAAATTTGCATTCACTTACGTTCTTCTTATCAAGTACCACATAAATATGACATGAATAATTAAGTTCTTACTCAGGTAAAAAGAAATAACAAATACATACAAAACAAACATTGAATCTGCTTCTAAGATGTTAAGACAATTAGTCTAATGGCTCGATTATCAAAAATCTTTAATCAATTTTTTACGAAGGAAGGGGCATGTAGCGCGCATGGATGGGACAAGAGGTGTGCACCGGGTACTGGTTGGGAAGCCTGAGGGGAAGAGACCGCTGGGGAGACCTAGACGTAGATGGGAGGATGATCTCAGGCGGGATATATGAGAGATAGGAGTTGAAGGAGACTGGATTTTGTTGGCCCAGGACAGGGTCCGGGGGAGGGCTTTGGTTAATTCGGTGATGAACCTTCTGGTTCGGTAAGCCATCTAGTTGGTTGGGTCCACTATTTGGGAAGCCTGAAGGGAAGAGACCGCTGGGGAGACCTAGACGTAGATGGGAGGATGATCTCAGGCGGGATATATGAGAGATAGGAGTTGAAGGAGACTGGATTTTGTTGGCCCAGGACAGGGTCCGGGGGAGGGCTTTGGTTAATTCGGTGATGAACCTTCTGGTTCGGTAAGCCATCTAGTTGGTTGGGTCCACTATTTGGGAAGCCTGAAGGGAAGAGACCGCTGGGGAGACCTAGACGTAGATGGGAGGATGATCTCAGGCGGGATATATGAGAGATAGGAGTTGAAGGAGACTGGATTTTGTTGGCCCAGGACAGGGTCCGGGGGAGGGCTTTGGTTAATTCGGTGATGAACCTTCTGGTTCGGTAAGCCATCTAGTTGGTTGGGTCCACTATTTGGGAAGCCTGAAGGGAAGAGACCGCTGGGGAGACCTAGACGTAGATGGGAGGATGATCTCAGGCGGGATATATGAGAGATAGGAGTTGAAGGAGACTGGATTTTGTTGGCCCAGGACAGGGTCCGGGGGAGGGCTTTGGTTAATTCGGTGATGAACCTTCTGGTTCCCTAAGCCATCTAGTTATATCCTTATTTAATTTAAGTAAACACTTCTAGAACTACAAATTTTTCTATACTAAGAAAATAAATTTGTAATTGTAAGCAATATAAAGTACAGACTTACTCTCTCGCTTGACTAGAGCAGTTGTTTTATAAGCCAAAGCAGTTCCCAAGATGCACCAAGCTATCAAAGCACCCTGAAACAACGAAACACATCCTCATTAATTAACTGCATGAGTCTCTTTACATGAGTTTTCGGTAATAGTGTTTTTGTATATCTACGTCTTTATTCAATATTATGAGGAGCATCAATATCCCATCCGCGGCCACAAGTAGAAGCTACACTGACACATGTCACCTTTTCAACTCCGTGTTCGACACATTAAGAAAAGTTATGATGTTCACTAAGAAACTGAACGGGAATTTATACGTTTCACGTTTTACACGTTTTCGATTTTCACGGCGATTCGCAGGTAAGCAACCCCCGCGTATAACGAGAGTCGCCTGTGTTGTCAATGGTGAACAATGTCTTCCACTTCTCTCACACTGTTACAAGAACAGACATCTTCATCGTGAAGGTGTCTAACAACTGCTGAGATAATTTGAAGAACGGTAAGCGTGGAAAAACGTTTTATGTACACGCGTGACAGGAAAAAACACGTGAATGAGAGGATAATTAAGATAATTAAACAATTACATTTGAGGAAGTATTCTATCAGGATATGGACTGATTTGAAATTTTATATCCGAAGTAGCATAATTTTGTTTCAAAGTCAGTATATTTCAGTTTATTTCGCCCATGACTGAAATAATAGTTGACACAGCTTCAATATTCAAACCTCAAGAATTAGATCACATTCTAATGTTAATACAAAAGCTAATTTAAATTCTAAAACACCAAAGATGTCATTCACATCACGGGCAATGAATTTAGCTCGGTAAATGCATCATGTATTACGACAATGGTATCCAAAGTCACTGTTGCAACAATATGATAAAAAGTGTTTATAGACGTTACACACAGACAGTCAAATATGGGAGGGACACATAAAGTGTTCTTCGCTAACGCTAAAAAGTGAAGAACATCTAAAAGAGTTACCGCTAGGCTAACCTCCTGTACCTCATTAACACAGCGGGCAAACTTTCGTGACATTCTCTTGTTCTGTTATATTACAATGCCTTTTTTGTTGTTGTTAACTTTCTCGAAACAGAAACTGCTTTACAACTGTGACCACAGCTTTTATGAATACATGCAAATGAGCCTGAAAGCGCATTGTTTGGATACATTTCCTTACTATGTGTTACTCTCAGGCGTGTCTTGTTGATACACTGCAACGGGGTGAGGGGAGGGCGAGGAGAAAAGCTGAGGGCTTTGAATATCGAATTTTATGCCTACAATCTTTCACGTGTACATATTTCTCTACGGAACTGTTTGTGGAGTGTAGGAGAATTGAATGCGTCATATTCAGTTGTCATTGTCTATGATTGAAAACCAACATTTGTAGCAGATTCCTTCTTCAGAGGAATGGTCGATCTGATGATCAAGACATCCCTTGAATTCTATGGAACCAGAAAGCTAACCGCGTTCACAAAATCTGACACGTTGGCTTCCATGAAGGTTACCGGTGAGTCCCATGAGAATAAATTTTATTACCGCGAGAGACACCGCTGGGTCACAGTCAAGGATTACCTAGATTTTATTCGTGGCTCACTTTTCGTAGAATGTAATAATGTATTTCTAACACGACAGATGGGACAGGAAAGATTCACGAGATTTGCGAGGGTCACAGTAAGACTTCTGAATTCTTTTTTGTCGGCGAAGGGTGAGAAACACCGGTGGGTCACGAGGCAAGATTTACGCCTTGTAAAATCGCTTTGGAGCCGATGTGCTAAGTAAAAGTACGCTGAGTGTACACTTAACACGAACTAGAATGGTACTTGTGATTCACTTCCGCTGTGTCAGTGACGTAAGACAAGTATCTACTTGATGTTTTCTCTCAAAAGAACGACTAAGCTCAGAACAGACTCTTTTTCAAACACCCACATTCACGCGGAGCCTCGCGCTATTAAATTTCTGTAGGTGTAAGACTATGTAAGAATCAAATCTATAAAACTTTGATTCTTGGAATTTTATTTAAGTATTTTAAATCGTAGCTCCACATTTATTCATTATCCTCCAATAAAAACGACGAGAAATTTAAATTATTTAACGTAACTTTTGTTATAACGGCTGTAAACGATCGACACTGGTTACTACATCGATTAGATTCATATCTATCCACTCTTCATGTCAACACACGTTACCATGGTGACGTTTAGAGACCAATATTTAAGTTCTCAGATAATGTAATGCATTGTACACGCAAGCAAAAGGGAAAGTGTAATTATCCTGTGGCTGAACATTACAACATTAAGACGCACTCCAGTGTAACAAAGTTAAATTCGTTTTTCTTACTGAGGAAAATCTAAACTTGTATGCTTCAACATATATTATTTCCAGTTCAATTGTTATAAAGAATATTTTAAGTCGAGAGACATTTAAATTGAGAAAATTTATCCATTCTGCTGATACCTATTCTAGACTTTAAGGAAGATAACGAGTATCTGTAAGCTGCGTATTAACAATAATTATTACTTGGTGAGAGTTAAACCAATCAGCGTCAATCAGTCTTCGATATTCTTACCATTAACTTTCTCCCTCGACTTTCACAGTTTAAAGCAATTGTTTTACGAGTTAGCTTTTCAGACATTTGTTTTTAAGGGCATTTTAACATGTTTTTTAAGTGACGTATATTTACGAGACAAACCTTACACAGTCAAGCAAGGGACTTAATTGTAGATGTTAAATTATTTCAAAAGAAAGGCTAAGAGTTTTACCTTGTGCTATTACTAGCATTACTATGCATGACTAGCTGAAGTATGGCGACCCGAAACGTCGTAACTGTCTTTCTTTCGGCACGACAAACCAACATTAAACTTGCCTTCATATTCGAATTCTAGTGTAGTATTTATAGACTGCAATAGCAAAGCTAACCACGAAAAAGTTTAATCAGAATAGCCAATCTCTGGGCTAAGACTTAAACTCGGGACCTCCCGAATACGAAGCACGAGTGAAGTCTATCATATATGAAACTAAGGGAACCGAATTGGTTGTCGGCATTTGTATTCGAATTGAAAAAATAGTAGAAACACGCACTTTGGGAGCGTCAGTACACGCCACCTTTTCTCAAATCAAACACAAAAATATTTCTCGAAAACAGCCCATAATAACTACTCACTTTTTTTTTTTGAAATGTATGCTCATTAAGAAAAGTTTGTACATTAATATGTCAAGCAGCGAATTCTACCAAATCTCATGAAAGGATCTTCGATATGAATCAGTATCCAGCAGAGAATCGAAATTTTAATCGACGTCACAGACAGGGCGTTATAATTATTTCAGCTTTCCATAAAAATTCGTACAAATGGTAATTAGAAATTCGTAAAAGCTGCTACAATTTTTTGATTTGCATTTATCAGGGCGTTGAAGTTGTTACTGGTTTTCTAGAACACTGTACTGATGGAGGCAGTATATTCCTGCGAAACGTTAGTACCCAATTACAAGTCTACACGGTGTTACCACCCAGAATATCAATACCGACATATTACAAATTTTAATTCTCTACTGTATCTCACAACTCACCATTGTCCAACACGACACCATCTTGAAAGATGGCTCAGAAAACAATCTGAAAACACAAACAACTGACTTAGACGAATGTTGTTATGTGATACTTGAAGAATGAATACTAATTTTCCCTCGAGATGGAAAGAACAGTTGACACTGATCACAGCAGAACCTCGGCAGACCTTGTCTGATATATATCCAGGGATGTTGTGGTTCTCGGTGAATCTACCACCTCTCACTTTATATATATACCAGCAGACATCTTGAAATGAGAATGTACCCATAAAACGTTACGTTATAGTACGAGCGGCAGATTGGTTTACGTTAAGGAGAAAGTTCTACCACTGCCATTGATAGTGACGTCATATCGTCTCATTGCAGTGGAGGTGGCGATAGATCTTCAGTAAGCTCTGTACGTACTGTGCTTGCTAACAGCTCGTGCTAAGAGCCTCAGGTCAGATTTAACCATCCATATTTCACCGCACCGCACCTACTTTGGGAACTATTGCCTCACACACGAGCAGAATTATATTTGTATTAGTGGGTATCGTTATCTGTCAAAAAATACCCAGGGGAATATTAAGATTTAAGATAAACGCATCAAGCTACAAGACAAAATTATATAATAAGTTTCGTAATTTTTTCTCGCCAAGTAAGAATGATATTTAAGAATTTAGTCGTTAAAAGACATCATTATATCATCTAGTTAACAGCAATTTTATTTACTGAGTTGTCACATACTCTATGAACTGAATACAACATTTATTATTTAATTAAGAAAAAACGTGTCAATGTATCGATAAATCAGTCTACGACATTTCATTAACCCGTTACCCCATTCTTCTACCACTTTTGTACCTTTATCTTCTTCTCTGCTTTTCCCCCTATTCCTTCCTAGTCCCTTTCAACGTAGAACAGTAATGAAAAACATAGGCCTTGCTTTTACCGATTAATCAACCATATTAAAAATACTTCAGAAACTGCCTAATGGTAATAGAAATTACAAAATATTATCTTTAACCTCTTAGCGTTAATACAGAAAGTTTTTTGCCTTTGTGAGTGCAACCAAACATTCATCAAAGGCAGCAAACTTCTGATTTTTCTTACGGCAAAAGTATTGAATCAACACGTGCTGGGTCAGTAACCTATTCAGCCAAAAAAAACTCAATTGGGTACGGGATATGCCATTAATATACTCGACATATTAAATTCACATTTTTTTGACAGTTACAATGAACAGTCTATAATTTATTCAGATCTTGTTGGAATATACCTCCTGGCTTTCCTCTAATTTAAATATTATGGCTAGAAGTGTCTTTCATAATCATGATGGTACGCTTAAAAATATGCAAGAATAAAATTTATTAACTACGATTTCAAACTCCACTAGAAAATGTTTTTCTTCATCTTCGTAAGTTCCTTGGTCTGCAGTTACGTAAGTCTTAACCTGTCCGTCAACACTGTTAACATTTCGCTGATAAGGTCAGCATTATATTTCTTGGACATAAATTTACTTTATTAATGTAATGTATAAAATCAATTACAGGCAGACTTTCTCCATACACTTCCTTAATTAGTAAGAAAGTACTTGTAAGTTTATCTGCAATAGCAACAAAGTTACTGACTTCATATGCAAATCTAAATACCTTTTGTTATAACAAGTTTCTAAACTCTTTCGTGGTTTTAGAGTAAGGACTAACTTTCTCTGGAATTAAATAAATGCCTGACGAATATATCATTATTATTTTCAGTCTCACGTTTAATTAAACAAGCTATTTTATTGTGTTATAGTCTAACAGATGAAATTCGATTTCTTTATTTAACAACGCCTTTCCAAACACATATTTCGACAGTGACGAACAACAAAATACAAGTGATTTTAAGCTTACGCGGTGATCTATTGTTTGTATTGATCCCGCTGTTGGATGCTAGCACAGCATGGAAGAGAGCTGTGTCACCGACGTTTCGGAATCAAACTCTGCCATTATTAGGACCTAACTAATGACTAGTATGGAAGCTAGAGTTAAGAGTGGGCCCAACATATATACTTTCTTTATTTTTTCTTAAATTTTTACCCGACGACTAAAGTAGAGTTCAGTAGTGTTACAAATTTATAATTTAAACTTCGTACAAAGTAAAAAAAAAAGAAGAAGAAATTACCTCATCATCGCCACAACCCTCTCGACTTCGACCAAATATAATCACCTAGCAACAACCAGACTGACAGGACGACAGAAAAATAACAGATAAAAAGACTTATTTATGCCTTATAGGAAATTAAAAACTTTTTCGAAGAAAAAATATTTGGTTCTTTAGACTTCCTTTAGACACTGCGTATTATTCTCAATAGCAAGCGGGTATCAGATGCTTGTAAATTTATTTCCACTGGTCTCATATGCTTCGTCTCCTGTGTTTATATCCACTCAAAAATCATCAATAAACAAGAGACGAACAAATAAGGCAGAGTTATCATAGCGCCATCACACTACGCTGATAAAAACTCCTTATTTCATATGTTAAAACTGATCATTTCATAATATAAAGGCGTGTAGATGGTATGTAAATATTAATATTTATAACCTCCGTATCAGATAAAAGTGACTGCTCAACTTCACTATCGGGTTCCGTGGGAGAAACCATAGCACGCATCAGACACGACGACCCGGCGACCCGCTCCGAAAATTTTAGCAAAATAAAACAAAAAAACAAGCTTATCTGCCATTCATTACATTTAACATCTGCTTTCCACATGACCAACTCCATGGAAAAGAGTCACTTCTTAAATTTTTACCCGACGACTAAAGTAGAGTTCAGTAGTGTTACAAATTTATAATTTAAACTTCGTACAAAGTAAAAAAAAAAGAAGAAGAAATTACCTCATCATCGCCACAACCCTCTCGACTTCGACCAAATATAATCACCTAGCAACAACCAGACTGACAGGACGACAGAAAAATAACAGATAAAAAGACTTATTTATACCTTATAGGAAATTAAAAACTTTTTCGAAGAAAAAATATTTGGTTCTTTAGACTTCCTTTAGACACTGCGTATTATTCTCAATAGCAAGCGGGTATCAGATGCTTGTAAATTTATTTCCACTGGTCTCATATGCTTCGTCTCCTGTGTTTATATCCACTCAAAAATCATCAATAAACAAGAGACGAACAAATAAGGCAGAGTTATCATAGCGCCATCACACTACGCTGATAAAAACTCCTTATTTCATATGTTAAAACTGATCATTTCATAATATAAAGGCGTGTAGATGGTATGTAAATATTAATATTTATAACCTCCGTATCAGATAAAAGTGACTGATCAACTTCACTATCGGTTTCCTTGGGAGAAACCATAGCACGCATCAGACACGACGACCCGGCGACCCGCTCCGAAAATTTTAGCAAAATAAAACAAAAAAAACAAGCTTATCTGCCATTCATTACATTTAACATCTGCTTTCCACATGACCAACTCCATGGAAAAGAGTCACTCTTGAGATGCTAATAGTCACTCAGATGACAATAAAATTCACCGCCTATTTTTGGATTCATTACCGTGTTTACTAGCAATTGCTTTCACTTGTTCGTGTAGTGTGTCAGTGAAATGCAGTAGACATCTTTACATCATACGTCTTTAAGGTCCATTTTAACATGATTCCTTATTTAGAACTAGGTCTCGAAAGCATAATCTCTCCTTCATATTTGGTACTAAACTGCACGTGTTTTTGGAATGCTCTATGCATGTTATATTTCCCTCACATTTTAGGCTACTCTACTGTATTTGAACACCTTAATAATATTTGGCGAAGGGAAGACTACAAACAAACAAGTTTTTTCTGACTTGTCACTTCCTCTTTCTTCGGTCGAAATATTCTCCTCAGATCTTTGTTCTAAAACATCCTCCATCTGTGAGGTTCAGTTAAGGAGAAGAACCAAGTTTAATATTTGCCTTTTAGTCCTCTTTCTACCCACTTTCAAAATCATTTTGTTTAATTACATAAGAGAAGTTCTCAAGTTGTAGAAAGTGTTCACTAGTCAAGAGTTTCTATGGAAACCATTTTAACGGATGAAAGACTAAAACATAAAATAATCACAATCAGTTCGAGTGCCAGGCCCAAGGCACTGAAGCTGCAACTCTCGTCTGAGAATTCTGTTACTGACTCGAATTTTACAGAGCAGGAATTTTCAGGCTAGAATAAAAGGCATTCTACGACGACGACTACACGTTTAAGTACCCTTAAGATTTAAACAAATACGGGTACATGGGCCATCAAGAATTACTTTAGTTAATGGAAGACAACTATAGTAACCATGGTAATAAGGAAACCATAGAAACCAAGGTAACAACAGTAACAAAGCCTAAGGATTACCCATCGGTAACTTTCGTGGGATAAACACAAGTAGGTATTTTTTTATACGTTTGTCCTTTCCGAAGCAGTCACGGAGGAGAGGCTTGCGGGCACTGGAGACCCTAAGGACTATGCCGGCAGCAGACAGGTCGATGGTAGGTGTACGACGAAGAGAAACACCCTGACCGTTGAGGTTGTGGCTTGGATCGCTGGGCCAGAACCCAACATCCGTATAAGATTTTAAATTAAGATTTCTGTCTTCTGGGTTGTTGCGCTGTATAGTCTGGTCGACAGTATGACCTCTGAAACGTTGGTTAACATCTACCGGACTACACAGCGCAACAACCCAGAAGACAGAAATCTTCATACTCACCGCTGTGAAAACCTCAAATCTTACAAGATTTTAAATGCTACAAATCCCAAAGAAGAAAAACAGAGACAGAACAGCTAAGATAAGTTACCAAGAAATATGTCTACAACGTCATTCTTAAAAGTATATTCTTGTAAGGGTTTGATGATCCCTTATTTCTTATCGAACTCAAAATAGCTTAAATGTGTCAACAAATTTTAGCACAGACTCCGCCACATCAAGTTAAACGAAAATCCAGCTGTTCCACAGTTGTTACAGACGGACAGACTGAGCAGATTTAATGGACGTTTTTTTTTAAAAATTTTCAGTTGCGAACGCGCCTAAAAGTGGAGTATTATATTGCACTAACAAAACAAAACTGAATCTGTTTAATTAATAGCAGCCTACAAGATAATTCCAACGAAGGCCTTGAAATATTACACACTTTCAAGAAAGCTGACGTTTAGACCTACAAGTCCTCTCTCTCTCTCTCTCTCACTCAAAGTCTGTCATGGCCGCCATAACGTAA